ACAAAATCCCTCCAAATGTCTGCTGCAGTGGTATGATAAAACAGACTTGGAGCAATGTCCTTGAAGACTAAGTTTAATTTTCAAGAATTCACTAGGTTGTTAGTCCTGGTCCAAGCATGAAACAATTCTAGAGATGATGGATCAGGAGTAGTGATCTAACCATCCACAAAACCTAGCTTATTATTGGCACTTGGCAGAAAGTGCAAGAGTTATGGATCGTTTCCAGCTGTGGAAATTATCAGTTGACAATGGCTGTGTAACCAGAACCATTTCCGGATTATCCGATCGATACAAATAATATGGATTGCTTCCATTATAAAAAATATAGCTCAAAGAAAAAGTCACGGTGAAACGTGATGAGAAAAGAAAACCTCTGATAACATACAACAGTGGAAGAAAGAATGAATAATGAATGTACTGTATTATTATTCACGCAAAGAATACAAGTAACCCAGCTTATATAAGTCTGTAAACCCAACTAACAAAACTACTAGAAAGAACTAAAACTGAATAACTAACTATCTGAAATAGTTACTCTAACAGATAGCTTTAAAATGAGATGGCCATGCAAGGCTTAGACGAAAAACATCTTCCATGGAAGGACTCGAGACGGTGAACATGAAACAATTTCTAAGTTTTCAAATTTGCCAAATAAGCGTAGGGAAAAACAAATCCCAAGAGAGAGACAGAGCATGTGTTTTATCATGGCAAGCTAAATTGCTTCTCAACCACTCGGAAATAGAGCAGTCAAAGAAGTTATGCAAGAGAGGGGGAGGGATTATCCTTTCCCATGCAGATTGCTCTCACTACGTGGCAATCGCAAAGCACTTGCAAGGAGGTTTCCACGTGCAAATCAAAAAGCGAACAGGTAGGATTTTGCGTTAAGCCTCAACAATGACGTTCATGGCTAGTCATGAGTCGATTCTTAACCACTAGCCATAATAACACACGGATACGTTGAGGAATTGGGAGAGCCCAAATCACCTTCCAAATCAGGTCAATTGTACCCCAATCATCACCAGCCAGTTTACCATAAGCAATGCTAACTCGGAATTTATGCATAATATCCCACTGCCAAACGCATCCATCATCACCCGTATCTGAACTTGGCAGTTTGACGCCTAAAATGTGAGGGAGGATTTCAACCGGGAAAAACAAAGATAATTTATTTATGTCTTACCTTCCGTTAGTATCAACAACATCATGAAATCCCAGAGTTACGATCATGGTTGGGAAGAATATAACCACGAAGAGATCCAAGAGAAGGAACCTACGTGTCATCCAACATGCAAATGTAATTATCATTCCCTATAAGCCAAATTAAGTGTTCTTTGAAACGATCCCAAGTATTAGACAATGCCTTCCAAAGTGGAGAACAAGAATGCCTATCAATGGATTGCGAACAGAGAGTATTCATTCGATACTTCTGGCGAAGAGCTTGAACCCAAAAGGTAGTTGGACGAGAAATGAGTGCATAGCCAATTTCCACAAGAAAGTTGTGTTATGGTCACAAGAACGATAAATGCCAAGACCACCTCTATTCATAGGTTGACATATTTCCTCTCAATTAGCAAGAGATATTTTCCTGTTGGAAGGGGAGGACCCCAAATGAATTACCGAACAATTTTATCAATCTCATTACAGACACCCATAGGTAATTTAGACGTTTGCATGAAATAGATAGGGATAGCTGCTAACACAGATTTGGCGAGAGTTATCTTATCTGACCATCCAAAGATAAGGTGCGAGCGGACCAACCGCTGAGCCTTGCCCGTATTTTGTATAGGATGAAATTATAATCGGAGCAGCGAACACGTCTATGGATAACCGATACACCCATGTATTTTCCGAGGGATTTGACCTATTGGTAGCCCAAAAGAGAGTAAATAGATTGTTGCAATGAACTATCCGTATTTGGCAAAAAATAGATATGCGTTTTTCGGGTGTTAACCTTGTGTCTAGAGGAAGAACCAAACTCGGAAAGAGTCAAAATAATGAGTTGAGCTTGAGCTAGGCTCGCTTTACCATAAATGATGAGATCGCCAGCAAAGAACAGATTTGAAAAAGGTAAACCATTACGACCCAGAAAGAAAGATGACCAAGAGCCAGAAAAAACAAGATGATCGATGCGTTGACCAAGACGTTCCATAATAAGAACGAAAAAATAGGGGGGAAAGGGTCACCTTGACGAACTCCTCTTTTAGGACGGAATGGAAACGTAAGTGAACCATTCCATTAGACCTACATGATTGAAGAAGTCACATTTCATGATGATATGAATAAGAGTGGTAGAGAAACCAACATCCTGAAGAGTGTCATGAATAAAGTCCCATTTGACTCAATCAAAAACCTTTTTAAGATCGACTTTGATCGTTATCCACCACTGTTTGGTGTTTTGCCTACGCATAGAATGAATAATTTCCTACGTTATATTCAATTAATCTTTTTTGTTTTTGTTTTTTAGTTTAATTTGATTTGGTTTAGTTTTCATTTTTTTCCCATATAAATTTGATATTTCAATATATATATATATATATTTAAAAACATTTAGATCTAAACCCACGCACACATGTTGACTATATTACTCGAACATAGGTCATCAAGAAAATCAAATTCTCTTCATATTTGATAAGTTTTAATAATATTTTCATAAATATTTCCAAAAAAATTATTAAATGAAAATAAAAAATTTTGATATGATATTTTAAAGCTAATTCTATTATTTAAAATATAAGTATTAAAGTTAATACTATAAAAATTAAAATTAAAATCAGATAACCTTAGTCTTAAACAATTAAAAATTAAATTTTGATACGATTTAATTTTACCCATGGCCTCTCATTGTGGTGGTTACTTCCTAAACCACTCTCCATTTCACTTTTGCTTTCTCCTCTTCATCACGTTACAGATTCATATGTTTTCATGAATGTAGTGCCAAACTTTGTATTTATCGTGGTATTGCTTCTGTACATGGTTCGTCAATTGCGTCGCCTATTCGAAGAGAGATGTGGTCCCAGGATACAATGGACTCTTGCTGACCATTGTAGCTGTTTGTTTGAGAACAACTTACCATGTTAACACGATAATTGGATGGACAGCGATAGTCGAAATTGTATCGACCATTGCAGTACTATTTTTTACGTATTGGGACTTCGTTTATTACTAGAAATCTTGAATAAAAGGTCAAAAACCCTTGACAAACTTTTTATTCCTCATAGAAGTATATATTTTTTAGCCATGGTTAGTTTATAAGAGTATATATATTGTTTCCATTGGAAGGGAAAGATCTTTTTAGCTTACCCTGACAGTATGTTTCTTCTTCCTCACAGGTGAGTAAAATATTGTATGAAATAAAAATGAGACTTAAACAGTATGCTTTTTATCCCTCATTCTCGACTGGGTAAAATTTTGTATGAAATAAAAATGAAAGATGAAAAGACAAAATGCGCTTGGATTTGGAACATGTGTTTTTACTTTTAATTTTCTCTGCGAATTTGGATACGCTATCAAATAATTTATGTAACGGAAGAAGAAGAAGACACATAATTCTTTTAATATTTTCTCAATTGACAGCTCAAATTTTCGTTACTGAGTTAACGAGAGTTAACGATTGAGAGACTAAAATTGAACGGAATAATAATATAAATAATTAAACGTATTTAATTTTCAAATCGAAATCGAAAAAGAACATCAGTATAGTTTACCCTATAATAAAAGCACATGCTAGATTTTTAGTTGAATGCAATGCTTTCGGTCAACTTTATTTTCCTTTCTTTTATTATTATAGTATCACAAGGTCGGGTAGGAATCTATCCAAACAGCTAGGGATGTAAATGAGACGAGACAGATCGCGAGCTACTCGAGATCGATTCGGTCACGGCTTGATAAATATTCGGATCGAATGGACTCGACTCGAATTCTTAACGAGCAGAAACGAGCTACTTGATACTCGACTCGAAAAGCTCATGAGCAGCTCGAAAATATAATATATTAAGAATTTATTTTTTTAAAAATAAATTATTAATAACATTAATATTTATGTGTTGATTTTTTTTAAAATACAATAAGACTTTCATGTATTTAAGATTCAAGTTCGAGTTTGAGTTTGAGGATTCAATCTTGTTAAGTTTAAGAATTTTTTTTTTCATTTCGAGCCTTTTCAAGCTGCTCACGAGCTTCAGTTCAGGATTTTGAGTTCAAGTCGAGCTTAAAAATTTTAAGCTCGCGAGTTTTCGAGTCGAGTCGATCTTCATTTCAGAGTTTTCGAGTCGAGTCGAGCTCAGCAATACTCGAGCTCGACTCGGCTCGTTTACACCCCTACAAACAGCTATGCAAAATGCTTCATGTTCCCTCCCATTTGAATTGTAATGTATCGGTTAGGTTTTTGATCAACTTGATCCGATTAAGATATATATACTTTCATTCGAATTTAAATATCTTTTACTTGACCCGGCTCGACCTACAAAGCATATTTTTTTAAATCGAATCTGACCCGACCAAGATTTTTTAAAGTATAAATCCAATTCAACCAGTCTCGACCCAACCAGGTATAAAATAAGAATCTAATTAAAAAAATAAAGAAAGAGGGGTATTATAGCTGTTATCTATAAATTTATATGAAAAAAATTATATTATTACTCTAGGGTTGGGTCAAATCAGAGATTTTTCACCCTCCATACGACCCGACCTCACTCTTATATAAAATCCAACTTTACATGAACCCAAATTTTTAATCCATGCAGTTTTCAAGCAAAAATGAATTGGAAAATTAGAATCTTATATTACAAAATGGAATATATTTGAGGTAGTGATGGGCCATGTGCCCTTTTGTCTGATATTGCATTGATGATTGAACCACTGTCACTAACCCATATGCACACCACCTTAAGCCATCTTCACCACCATCTTCATAAGTATTTTCTTTTTGAGATTTATTTATACCAAATCACCAAAAAAAATTAAACATCAATGATTAGTTTCTTTACATAATTGAACCACTCGTCTATATAAGATGGGGAGATTCCACGAGATCCAGCAGGCAATGGCTATGGCATCTGTAAATGTACATTGCATGAATCCCGGTGACAAAGATATTAGCTATGCCAATAATTCCTCACTACAAGTCTCTTCCTCTCTTCCCTATATATAATATGTGCAAAACTTCTTATTTATATCTATCTGTTAAACAAATATGTTAACCTTTTGTTTCTTTTTTCCCCAGAAAAATATATTATTGAAGACAAGGCAGTTTCTAGAGGATACAGTCAAAGACATGCTGAGCAAGTTTTTGCCAGTCACTTGTCTTAAGGTGGCGGACTTGGGTTGTGCTTCAGGTCCCAACACGTTCTTCTCAACATATGAAATTATGGATACCATCACTAGGATTTGCCAAAAACAACACTGGGAATCACCTGAGCTTCAAGTGTTCCTCAACGATCTTCCCGAGAACGACTTCAACGCAGTATTTAGATCAGTTCCAGCTTTGAATGAAAGGCTGAAGAAAGATGAGGGAGACCTGAGGGGGCCTTGTTTTATAGTTGGAGTACCAGGTTCCTTTTACCAAAGACTTTTTCCAAGCAGGAGCATGCACTTCGTATACTCTTCTTCTAGTCTCCATTGGCTCTCAAAGGTTATCAATCTCTTCCATTTTTGTATGTTATCGGTCCAGTTTAAATTGTTAAGTGGTTGCCAACATACAAGGTGAATGTTATATGATTGTGAATGACTTTTAGGCCCCAAGAGGAGACAAGGGAAACATATACATGTCAAAGTCTAGCTCTGCTGATGCATTCAAAGCTTATTCGGAACAATTTCGAATGGACTTTTTGAAATTTTTACGCTTACGTTCCGAAGAAATGGTGGGTGGAGGACGAATGCTTCATTGCTTAGTTGGTAGAAGCAGTACTGATCCCACAAGCAATGATTGTTGTTCTATATATGAACTTTTAAATAAATCACTCTTCGACTTGGTGGCCAAGGTTCATTAGTTTTTTCTTCACTTGAATACTGTAGCATCGCGATTACTATCTATTGTACATATGATGGCAGTTATAATGACACTCATTTCTTTGAGAACGATCTATTTGATTTGCAGGGGCTGGTGCAAGAATCTAATGTGGATTCATTCAATGTGCCTTATTATAACCCTTGCGAACAAGAAATGAGGGAGATCATTGAAGAGGAAGGATCGTTCAATCTTGATAAGATAGAAGTATTTGAAGTGAATTGGGATTTTGAAGACAACAATGGCAACAAAAACTATGTGTTTGAAAAGAATAAAAGCGGGCAAAATGTTGCAAAAACCGTAAGAGCGGCTTATGAATATATACTTGCTAGTCATTTCGGAGAGATCATAATCGATGAACTGTTCACAAGATATGCACAATATGTGGGTGAGCATTTGTCTGAGGAAAAGACAAAGTTCATTACTTTTGTGGTTTTAATGACCAAGAAATAGTTGGTTATATGTAAGGACACATATCACTATTAGGTATATCCCTTTCTTAGTGTTCCTTATTGTTATCGTGTGGGTGAGCTATTATTCTCGTTTTAATGAACATATGATTTGGGTGAGCTATTATTGAGTTCCTTATTATTTGAATTATGATCTTCCTCGGTGTGGTTTGTGCCGAAGAATCTTTGGTTTTAACTTATATACATCTACGTGTGGAGGACTGGAAATGGTGGTGGAAATCCTTCTTCGCTTCTGGTTCTGTTTCCATCTACATCTTCTTGTACACCATAAACTATCTAATATTCGATCTCAAGGGTTTAAGTGGACCAGTCTCTGCAACTCTCTACTTGGGGTATTCTCTCTTCGTGGTTCTAGCAATCATGTTGGCGACTGGAACAATTGGATTCCTCTCTTCATTCTGGTTCGTGCATTATTTATTATCGTCCGTAAAGCTGGATTGAAGAGATAATCAGCAGTCGAAGAAGCTCGTGAGAAAAGAAACCAACCTGTACATCAGTCGATCATATCTAGTATTTATAATCTTGAGCTTTACTTTGTTCGGGAACTGAAGGCAGGAACAATAAATTGTCGTTTTTTTCCTTAAATTCTTTATTAGTTGCATCCGCATTCTGATATTAGGTTGCGGTTGTAACTTACTTTGTGCTACTTATGCCAATTACTTTGGGGTATTTTCATTCTGGAATGCAATTGAGCACAGTCCCTTTTTTACTGGTTTGACTTTCCATTTTTATTAGGGTAGAATCTCTCCTTCCTAATATTACAAAATTATAAAATAATTTTCATATTTATTAAATTATGTTAGCAAAAAATCATTTTTACATTGATTCCTACTTTATTTATTTTAAAAATATCATTTTTTTTTATCATTCAGTATCGTGTTGACATATGATCGATGCGGAGCTGCATTAGGCTGCATAGTTCTGTTGTACCAAAGCTGGTAGGAATGAGAAGGTCAAATTATATTTGGAGCACTTTGAATGGACATATTTGTGAAAGTACATCGGTACACAATTTATCGACTTAAATGATGAAAAACTAGCAAAATCTAGAAAGCATAGAAGGATGAAACAGCCATCCATATACTACATGGAGGTAAAAATCTAAACAAGAATCGAAAGTCTAGGCGAGAACTGGCAAGATGAGTCCGTCTATAAAAGAAACGGAAATACAAGCACTACATGAACAATTCTGAAAATAAAACCACCCAAACGACTCCAAAAGAACAAGCACGAAGGACACCAAATCTTCTCCACTCATTGTGCCATTAAGTCCAGCCGAGGTTTCTCATGGTTGATGCACCAATTAAGAAAAAGAATATGATCCAAGTCATTTCCAGATCCTACTCTTGCCACTTTAGCCTTGTGTTTGCCGAGTATTGTATGACTTGCAGTTCGGGCATTTCCGAGCCAAGACGTGAAACCGAACTAAAGATTTTGTCCCGCAATCATTGCAAAGGATTGAAACCTGTTGATCACAATTATATTTGTAAACGAACAGAGGTAATAAGAAACTTCTTCCATGAAAGGAATCTCGGGTAAACTCATTGTATAAATGATAAGAAAAAGAGGATGCTCAGATTTCGAACCATTTTATTTTGATACGGTTCTGGCATTGGTGTAGTTGTGATCTCCTCGTCAAATTTCTCCCAAACCTTTGACATATCACAAACCGATTTGGAGCACAGAGGGCAGGCATATCTGTTATAGTGATCAGTCAAGAACAGCAGCATCACAACAAATTGAGGAAACAGTTGATCCTGATACTGAAATGAAGCACTTACTGGAAATGGTCCCTCATATCCTTCAAACAATTTGTGTGAATTGTATGCCCACATGGCAAAACAGTAACATCTTGTCTCGACTCAAACAGAAACTGCATTCATAAATTGTGATTTTTCAGTTAGGTAAATATTGAAGCAATATTTTATAATATTTGATGGTTAAATAGGAGAATCTGAAATTACCTCAAAGCATACAGGACAGTCGTGGTGCATTGCTCCTTCCACACAGGGATGGCTGTTTTCCAGAAGAACTGAATAGCAGCAACCTTTGTGCAACAGAAAATGAAAAAACAAACAGATAAAAGTATTAGTAATATTCAAATACCCAATAATAACAAAAACTTGAATAAGATAGATTCAGATAAGCTTACCACACTTGTGGCAATGGAAGAAGTTCTCCTGCCCTCCAATCCTAGGAGAATATAACATCAATTATTTAGGTGTGTCAATGACAAGATCAACAGAAAAATGCAACCCTCCCTTCCCCCAAAAAAAAATGACAAAGGAGAAAATAACTTCGTAAATGCTGCAAAATGTTGAGCCATAAAAACAAGGACATTAACAATATACCTACAGATCCCACAACCATCACAATGATACTGTCTCTTCGATGTCTGCATAGTAGAAACAATGTTAGTATGCCACTATATGTATCTATTAACTCTGTACAAAAGATGAAGAGCTGAGACAACATAACAATTCACAAAACAGTAAAACATGGAAAGACTTAGATTCGCATTTGATTGCTACATTAGGGAATTGCTATCCACTTACATCATCGTCAAAAAGCTTGCAGGACTTGCAGAAATATTTCCCCATACACACACCACAGTTAATGCAGACTTGTTGGACCTGTTCAAAATGATATCAAAAGCAAACGTGTTCAGACAAAATCCAACCACGTACAAAACAACTCTTAAAGTACTATATTATGCAAACTAAAATTTTCATCATCATCAAGAATATCATCATTCCTTTAACATGGGAATACCTTAACGGTTTAAGCTTTAATATTGACATCTTTCCTTGAAATTCTTAAAAAAAATAAAATAAGCTAAGAGTGATTTACCTGTTGTTCTGTGCCACAGAGTGAGCAAATGACCTGGTAAAATGTTCGGGGAAATGTTAGAATATGGAGCATTACAACAAAGATGCCAGCAAGTACAAAGAAAAGAATTCCAGGTATACCATGGGGCAGAAAGAAAATATACCGAATTTATCAATAAAGATACCTTACTGACTTGACGGCGTGGGATGTCATGTCTGAGCCCCTGATCAACATTGATATTATTCTGAGAAGGATAAAAAATCAATCGAGTGCCAAAAATATTTTCAATTAAAGGATGTAAATATTCTTCTGAGAAGGATAACATTCAAATTATTGATGATAGCATTTTCATACTACAATGTCACATAGATGGCGATTAATGTTAATCATAAAATGTCATGATAAGAACTAACCTTGGCCTCATTATGACAGTGGCGACAATCAAAGATCTCATCACAACAGGGAGCTCTAATCCGGCACCTTCTACGATAATGAGAGCAACTGGAGAAAAAAAGGGAAATTAGCAACACATGGTGTCAGCCAAAAAAATGAAAGAAACCTGAACAGAAATAAATAAGAAAAATAATTAGAACTTACCCATACTGCATAAGCCCCTTATCCAGCAATTCAGTTGCTTCTACTTCATTTGATTCCTGTTTGACCATACAACATCGACCTGACTGCGGTGTGCATGAACCCCCTGCCTCTTCTTCATATACTTTGCAATTTTCATTTTGTTGCTGATAGTTAAGCTCTAGTCCTTCAGCTGCAGAAGACTTCATCTCAACTTCTTCCATTGAAAAAGACATCTCCAGGTTTAACTGTATCTTATGTTAAAGCTGGTGCAGTCCTTAAAACCTGCAGAGTATAAAATTTAGCAAAGAATCCAATATTTTAAACACATCTAGTGGCTTGAACAAGCCAGGCACACACTCCATGACATTGTTGCTTTCTTCTATACTGCTGCAGACCAGTTGAAATCAGCAACAAAATAATCCAACAAAGGTTGAACAGCTCCAATCAGCATTACTCCAAGTTAAGGATTCATCAAAATTAGTATTACTACAATAATCCCACATAAATAAGAATAATGCAGCACTGAGGAACTCCAGAGCCTCCAGCAGTGAATAGAAAGCAATAGCATTGCATGATAAACTTGATTGCTTGAAGTTCTGGACCCAAAATCCAACTATACTGGAGATGACCATAGATGTCCCAACCTATGGTAAAAGCAATATATCACAGAATCAAACATGTTCTCCAATGAAAAGGAAAAAAGGGGAAAGAGTGATTGATTGCAAAATTTTGCTGTGTTATCGTCCACAACAAGCAAGCCTACCTCTAGCATTTCAGCACCGAGTCTCCCCTCTAACAATAGTACTTACTCTTCATCCCTTAATACTTTGACATCCTTAGAACTGGAGAAAGTGGATCTTCAGATAGAATTAAGCTTATTAGGAACTTAATTATTTCTCTCCAAAAAATAAAGTTATACAAGAAAATCTCCAACTACTGAAGGATTTTCAGTTATACATAAACCAAACTGGTTCACCACCCATCAAAGTACACCTCATTTCAAGGAAGATTCTAGTTGAAACCAATTAGCGAAAGTTCTTTTATTTCTAGCCAGTTTAGAATACACCCTCCAAGGCTTTTGGAAATGAATCATAGCAACTTGTAGATTGACCCCATAATTTGGAAGAAGTGAGTTTTGTTGGAAGCGTAGATGGACTCACTATAATTTATATAACACTCAGAAATTTTTATTTATACGAAACAAAATATGTTACAACGACACTCTCAATATTACAATACTGCAATACTAGCTGCTGCTAGTTTACAAACTCACCAATATATTTAAAGCTTTGCTAAGCTTCACAATATATCTCTCAAATCTCTTTATTTTTTCACTCCTCAATCGTATTTACGCTCACTCACTTTTTTATTCACGCTCACTACTTCACACCAACTAAAGGCTAAGCACACATATATATATAGGTTGTATAACCGACTTATTTGAGGACCTCTGGATGCTTCTCAACTTCTCTCCTTAATTCTTGCTTGACATGTTGCCGTGTGAATTCAAACAATTAAAGAAAAATCTTTGCCGACATATGCATGTGTGGTTTAGTGTACTGCCAAGCATTTCCACTTTGTTTTGTTTACTTGTGAATCTATCTTCATTTGCCACGTTGAACTTCTACACAATTCCAAGAGTTTGACTTCTAACACTCCCCCTCAAACTCGACTTTCCATTCCAAGCTTTTCTTTGAGTCGATTGAATATATCTGCTCTCAATGGCTTTGTGAAAATATCTGCTAGTTGATCTTCAGTTCTGCAGTAAATTAGCTCCACATTTTTGTTCTTCACCTGCTCTCGTATAAAGTGATATTTTGTATCAATATGCTTGCTTCGGCTATGAGAGACTGGATTCTTGGCAAGGGAAATTGTAGACTTGTTGTCGACATAGATTGTAGTTGGTTCTTCTTGCGCCAAATTTAGCTCGTTCAAAATATTCCTTAACCACATTGCTTGGCAAGTGCACGCTGCTGCGGCTATGTATTCTGCTTCACATGTTGAAAGAGCTACAGTTTGTTGCTTCTTTGATGACCATGAAAATACTGCAGAGCCGATATGAAAGAGATATCCAGTTGTGCTTTTCCGATCGTCTAAGTCTCCCCCATAATCACTATCAGAATAACCAACCAGCTTCGAATTTTCTGAATGCGTGTAGAATAAACCATAACCTGTTGTACCTTTGACATATCTGAGGATTCTTTTTGCTGCACTCCAATGATCTTGTTTCGGATGCTCCATGAATCTGCTTACCAATCCCACAGCGTATATTATGTCTGGTCGTGTAATAGTCAGATACCTTAGACTTCCAACTATGCTTTTGAACAACGTCGGATTCACTTGCTCTCTTGTTGAATTCACACTTAATTTGACTCCTGGTTCTGCTGGAGTGGCTACCGGCTTGCAATCTTCCATTTTGAATTTTCTTAAAATTTCTTCTGCATACTTCTTTTGTGATATAAATATTCCTTCTTGCATTTGCTTCACTTCAACTCCAAGGAAGTATGACATTTCTCCAATATCTGTCATTTCAAATTCTTTAGTCATAGCTTTCTTAAAATCATTGAACATACCTGGATTATTTCCTGTGAAAATCATGTCGTCCACATATAAGCACACGATCATGATATCACCGTCTTCATTTTTCTTTGTGTATAAGGCATGCTCGTATGGACTCTTCATGAACCCATTTCTCTGGAAATATTCATCAATCCTTGTGTTCCATGCTCTCGGGGCTTGCTTCAAACCATATAGAGCTTTCTTCAATCGGTAAACTTTGTCTTCATGTCCCTTTTTAATGTATCCAGGTGGTTGCTCAATATAAACTTCTTCTTCTAGGTAGCCATTTAAAAATGCTGACTTCACATCCATTTGATAAATTTTCCATCCTTTTTGTGCTGCGACTGCTGTGAGAAGTCTGATGGTCTCGATCCTTGCTACTGGAGCAAATACTTCATCATAGTCTATTCCTTGTCTTTGTTTATAGCCTTTGACAACTAGCCTCGCTTTGTACTTCTCAACATTTCCTTCTTTATTGGTCTTTGTCTTGTAAACCCATTTTACTCCAATTGGGTTATGGCCTTCTGGTTGTCTTGTTAGCTCCCATGTATCATTTCTTTCTATTGATGCAATTTCTTCATCCATTGCATTCCTCCATTTGTCATCTTCAACCGCTTCTTCGTATGTTATTGGATCACTGTTCACAAGCAAGCAGAAAAGTGAAACATTATTTAGTTCATAATCGTTGTACCTTTCTGGCATTTTTCTCTCTCTTGTGGATCTTCGAAGTTCTGTGGGAGATGCTTCAGGATCTTCTATTATGTTGCTGGCATCGCTGCTGCTGCTTGACGACGATGGTAGATTTTGTCGAGGATCTTGATCATCATCTTGTTCATCTTGATTGATAAGATCACCATCTTTATCTTCAAAAAATAATCCTTCAACTTTCTTTTCCTCTTCGCTCCATCTCCAATAGTCTGCTTCATCGAACTCGACATCTCTTGAAATTATTATCTTCTTTGTAAGAGGATTATATAATCTGTAAGCTTTGCTTCTTTCATCATAGCCAATGAAATACATTTTCTCCTCTGTCATCAAGCTTCTTTCTGGTCTGTTCGGGAACATGGGCATATGCGATGCATCCAAAAATCTTGAGGTGTCCAACTCCTGGTTTCTGTCCACTCCATGCTTCGTTTGGCGTCATATACTTCACGCTTTTTGTTGGACATCGGTTCAATAAATAAACTGCACATCGAACTGCTTCAGCCCAGAAATTTCTCGGTAGTTGCTTACCTTTTATCATGCTTCTCGCCATATCCAGGATTGTGCGGTTCTTCCTTTCTGCAACTCCATTTTGTTGTGGCGTGTATCTGGCTGTCAGCTGATGGATGATACCATGCTCTTTGCAGAATTCTTCAAATAACTTTGATGTATATTCGCCTCCTCTATCTGATCTGAGTATCTTCAAATATTGACCGCTTTGTTTTTCCGACATTGCTTTGAATTCTCTCAATTTTTCCAGCGCTTCTGACTTTTCTTTCAATATATAAATCCAACATTTTCTACTAAAATCATCAATGAAAGTTAGGTAGTACCTGTTACCGCCAAGCGATGGTATGTCAAAAGGACCGGCTATATCTGTGTGTACTATCTCCAGTGGTCTTCGGGCACGCCAGGATCTACCAACTTCAAAGCTTTGTCTATGTTGCTTCCCTTTGATGCAAGCCTCACATAATTGATTTGGAGGGTTGATCTCTGGTAGTCCTTTCACCATGCTTGTTTTTGACAACAGCTTCAATCCAGAAAATCCAAGATGTCCATATCTTAGATGCCATAGCCATGAATCATCTTTGATCGCGGTCTTTATGCACATTACTTCTCCTGACTCGATATCAATTGTAAAGAGACGATTTCGAGTCATATCAGCTTGGGCTATCAATTCTCCTTCTTTATTTTTGATGGCGAGCGAGCGATTCTTCATCTGCACTTCATATCCTTTTTCCAGGAGTTGACCAAGACTGATGATATTGCTTTTCAAAGCAGGTACATAATAAACATCTGAAATATATTTCTTTTCTCCATTTTTCTGAGTAATCATGACTTTGCCTTTTCCTTTTATTTCTGCGTGCGAGTCATCTCCGAACGTTACTCGTCCATGAACTGTTTCATCTAATTTCACAAACAGTTCCCTTTGACCACACATATGGTTACTGGCACAATTATCAAGATACCAAATATTTTTCTTGAATTCTTCATTTCCTTTATAAGTGAGGAATACGTGAGATTTTTCAATTTTTTCTTCTTCAGCTGCTGCTACGTTATTTCTTTCTTCTTGTTTAGGAGCAGATCTACACTCATAACTATAATGACCATACTTATTGCAATTATAACATTGTACCTGGAATTTACTTCCTTGTTGATATCTGCCCCTACCTCGGCCTCTGAATCCTCGTCCACGACCTGATGTTGGATTGCTTTCACTCATTTGATCGGTGCTATGTGATCGACCACCACGTCCACGAGTTCCACGAGTTCCTCGTCCTCCTCTATATCTTCCACGATAACCACCACGATTTCCTCGTCCTTGTGTGTAGCTGCTGCTAGCTTTTCCTTCGTTGACATTCATCTTGCTTTGTAGAGCTTACTCCAAATTTTCAGAATCCTCATTTTGTTTCATTTTCTGCTCATGGGCTTGAAGTGAACCCACAAGCTCATCAATCGATATCTGAGATAAATCTTTTGATTCTTCGATTGCCACCACCACGTAATCGAATTTTCTTGTTAATGACCGCAAAATTTTTTCCATCACTCTAACATCATCGAGTGATTCACCATTTCTTTTCATTTCATTTACGACCGTTTTCACACGGCTAATATAATCATCGATGTTTTCTGTACTTTTCATTTTTAGCATCTCAAACTCAGCACGGAGAGTTTGTAAGCGTACCTTCTTTGCTTTTTCGACACCTTGTAGAGATTTTTGCAAAATCTCCCACGCTTGTTTTGCGGTCTTTGCATCAGAAATTTTTTCAAAGGTAGATTCGTCTACTCCTTGAAAAATAAAGAACAATGCTTTTTTATCTTTTCTCCGGGATTCCTTCAATACCTTCTTTTCTTCATTGGCCAAGGCTGCTTCTGCTGCTGCATTTTCAGGCTCGGTGTAACCATCCTCGATGATATCCCAACAATCTTGGGACCCTAGTAACGCCTTCATTTGAATGCTCCAATTGCCATAATTTGTCTTTGTCAATCTCGGGATTTGAGGTTGAATCATGTTGGCCATCTTCTCCACCACGTTGAACTCGAACCAAGCTCTGAGGCCACTTGTTGGAAGCGTAGATGGACTCACTATAATTTATAACACTCAGAAATTTTTATTTATACGAAACAAAATATGTTACAACGACACTCTCAATATTACAATACTGCAATACTAGCTGCTGCTAGTTTACAAACTCACCAATATATTTAAAGCTTTGCTAAGCTTCACAATATATCTCTCAAATCTCTTTATTTTTTCACTCCTCAATCGTATTTACGCTCACTCACTTTTTTATTCACGCTCACTACTTCACACCAACTAAAGGCTAAGCACACATATATATAGGTTGTATAACCGACTTATTTGAGGACCTCTGGATGCTTCTCAACTTCTCTCCTTAATTCTTGCTTGACATGTTGCCGTGTGAATTCAAACAATTAAAGAAAAATCTTTGCCGACATATGCATGTGTGGTTTAGTGTACTGCCAAGCATTTCCACTTTGTTTTGTTTACTTGTGAATATATCTTCATTTGCCACGTTGAACTTCTACACAATTCCAAGAGTTTGACTTCTAACAAGTTTTAGGATTTAGAGTGAAAAATAGGGCATAGGGTTTAGGAAAGTAATGACAGTGTCAATTGAAGTTCAAAAGAGAGATCTGCACAAAATTCCCTAATGGTTTCTAGTAAAAATCTGCAGGAGCAAATGAAATTCAAAGTACAGAAATCAAAGTTTCGGTGTCCTTCCTTATCTGCAGTCAGCCACACATTCTAAGGTAACAAGTAAACACAAGTTATTCGTATTTCCTGCTTCCGACATTTACCGTAATCTCAATAGTCTCTTATCTAGCACTTTATTGCAAAGGAAAGATATTGCGCTATACCATAATATCAAGTTTCAAAAGTGAACTCCAAAATGAGATTGAAAAGTCGTTATTATTCTCTTTTGTTCATTTCATGGACAAATCAAAAATTTATTCAAAAACCAAAACAGTATTACATCGTGTGTCAGAGAATAGGAAACTCAGCTGCCAAGCAAAAGGCAGACTAATAATAAAACCAATTCAAGTTCGTTTTCTTCACTCTACAACCAGAAGCATACTTGATTAATTTTTTAAAACTTTTGGGCCAAAACCATCCGAAACTAATGTTTTACCAAATGATCCATGAAGATGCCTTAATGATGCATCATGTCGATTGGCTGTATGCTACAACAAAATAAGTAATAACGTAAAAGACACCGCAGAGGATGGTTAACCCATAATACTGCTTCGCAACAAGCACTCCCGAAGCTAGAATACTTCGGGACAAATGTAGTAGACATCAAATACTTATGCTGAAGGCTTTAAATCGAATCAACGTCATAGACACAAAAGCCATCCAATCCAAGCGGAGAGATAATAAAACGACCTCCTCTAATAAAAAGAAGCAACCAATTCAGTAGATACAAACAACAGCTGAAAGAACTTTCAGGCCTAAATTTAAATCCCTACCAAGCACAGTACACACAGCAGCAATAACTCAAAATAAAACACCAGCATCAGCAGCAAAAGAAACACAACCACTGCATCAAATCAATCGGCCAGTAAGAATAAACTGAGATTTATATCAAATTATTCTAACATGATCAAATTCGACCAAAGTTGACAATCAAGCAATAAAAAATTCTCGATCTTATACTAAATAGGAACGACCAATTCAATCATCAATATTTTTCCTAATGAAAGAACTAAATCTTCTGGAAACGAATTACTTCCAGCAACTTTTCCTTCCGTTTCTCTCAATTCTTTCAGAAACGAAACGGAAACTAAATCGCTTAATAAATTAAATCAACGAATTACTACTTCCGACAAAGAACATTAGCCTTATACATTACCTAAACAAAGAATTCATCATCAATAAAAAATAATATTATTATTAACTTAAAACAGATTTTACGAAATAACGAACTTTAAATCTTAGGGAGAAACGCTCCGATCTGAAACAAGAACAAGGGCGTGATCCCGATGACAACGTCCAATAGCAAATGTGAATATATCCTTTCAATTTCTCACAATCATAGCCTTTTCCTTTCTTCTTTGTTTCACAGCAATTTGATGAGAAACTTGTGGTCAAATAGCTGCCCTTTTATAGCTGCTTAAAGAGATAAGGGAAGATCGGTTTCCTCGATTTCTCGAGACTTCGAAAAAATTTGGTTTTACGAAAACCGAAAGCGAAAGCTGTTACTTGTTGGCTTCTGTATTTCTCATAGATGTCGATAGACGACAAATTTAAACGTCCGAAATGACGTACTCACCCCTCTCTCCCAAAAAATATCTTCTTCCCTGTCTATTAGGGTTTATTGCATTGGAAGTTCCTCAACTTTAATATATTATAATTAAATCCTTGAATTATCTATAACATATATATTAAATTCTTCTGTTAGTCTCGCTAGTTTGAGAATTAAATATCAGCTCAAATCTAGTATAAAATATATTTAAAATTTCAATTCAAATGATAAATATGTTAATAGTTATCTCGTGCAAATGTAAACTTGGAAAATTTCTGTGTTAAAATTAAATTTTAAATTCTTGAAGATTCAAAGTACAATGTTAACATTTTAATCATTTATATTTTAAAAAAGATTAAAGAGAAAATTTATCATTTTACTATTTTAGAGGGACCGAGAACACTCCTGCGAGCTACTCTTCTCGTATAATGCAAGGTATGAGATGTTGATTTGATGGGTTTGGACTTTATATGTACATGGTTGAATTTTTTTTCTTTTTCTAAAAGATCGAATTTAGATTCAGTTGAATTATTTGAGGAAAATGTTGAGTTACGTTCGAGTTTAAAGTTAAAAATATTCGACTTAATCTAATATTATAATTTAATTATCTCTTATATATTTAGAGATAATTATAATAATATATTTTTGTATGGATTTTCTTTTCAATTAGATTACTATTTTATTGAATAAGAATGATAATTATATATATATATATATGTTGAATCAGGTCAGGTATGTGTACAAGTTTTATCCCAAAAAGTAAGTTTTATTTTAGATCGGGTGAAGTTTCCCTAACTTAGATCAGGTCAAGTTTTAACCGGAGAGAATATTTTTTTTTGATTTGGGTCGAGTTGACTAAAAATCTAACCTAACCTGACCCATTTCATCTTTACTCAAACGCGATCAATCTCATGAATGATTTTGATATAATGTCTAAAACAATTTTCTTAATTTTTAATGACATTGTCTATTTTTAATGCTTTGATCTAAATTGTTCATATAATAAGCATATATATTTGTAATTTAATAGTGATATTTTATAAATATTTTATATCATATTTGAGTTGACATTTAATTCTTTAATTGATATTAAGTTAATGTGAGAACTTGGTTAATATATAAAAATTTAAGAGCAAAATTAGAATATGAACAATAAGTTCAGGATTAAAACTTGGTTGGTATTTTAAATATTCGATTAAAAGATATTAAAATTTTATAACAAATTTAGAATATGAACAATAGTTTAGGATTAAACTATCAATATTGATTAATAATTGTTTAATTGTTAATATTTAAATCATTTTTCCTTTTGAAAACTTTATTGGGGTGTCGGATAGCGTTTGAGACGAAAGGGTCGGTGGAGTAGGACAACCCAATAATGGAAACAACACAAATACTATAATTTTTAGACGGGAAAATGAACGGTCAGATTTGATGTGACCGCAGAAAAGGTTGCTATCCGATTGAGTTATTGCAATGCTGCAACGTGTATGGTCAACAAGACAGCTGGAACTGGTGATATCGGATTCTTGGGCGAAACCGCGAAAGACGTTCCTAACTGACGTGGATAGATTATTACAATGTATTATAGTGAAAAAACTATCTTATACGAAAGGAAAAGAAGATCTGTCACGTAATTTATTTTAGGATAATGTTTGCTAAAATACTATGTATTTATCTTAAATTTAATATAAATATTTTGATATAAAAAATATGGAAATGATATAAATATAATGATTTATTTATAATATAATGAAAATGTTATTCAATATTTTTATTTTTCTAGTATATTATTCTTTAAATTATATATATATACATATTGAATAATCTAATCATATCTAACACTTAAATTTTTTTATATTTTGTTTTTAATATTTATTTTTTCAGCACTTCATTTTTCAATTTTTACACTAACTCAATAGAATATTAGCATGTTATCTTTATTTAAGGGTATGATTAAAAAACATTAAAACCCATTACATGAGATTCAAACACATAATTAATAAATTTAAATAAAAACTTTTACCATATTATTAATGATTTTTTTATATTTTGAAGGAATTATTATTTATTAATTTAATTTTATAAATATTTTCAATAAATATTTTTTATTTTAAAGTATATTTTAAAATCATTTGATTGTTTTGGTGTTACTTGTTTATATTAAATCAATTAGAAAATTACATAAAAATAAACTATAAATTTATAACATACTAATAATAATTTAAATTTTTTGTTAATAAATACCTATCATTTATAATATATTTCTAGTTTCAAATTTTCAATTAAACTATTCATACTATATAATAAAACTTATTAATTAAAAGATGTTATTTTACTTACAGAGTGAATACGATAAAGTTGAAGAAAGTACATGATAAGATTATAGTTTACAAGTGATCCATTAACTAAATTATTTATTATAGTTTATTACGGTGAAAAGACATTTACGATAATTAACAGTATAAAAAGCCATAATGCTGAGATGTTCCAATACGATATGAAGAGTTGATACTGTAAAATACTCATGAAAAATTGACACGAATGCACTTGAATGATAATATTAATTAGGATTAAGAAAGAATCAATTATTGGATATCTCACGTGCCAAATTAAGATATTAATCCCACGTTTAAACTTTGGTCTCACGTCATTGGCCCATTTAGTTCCGTGATGCAGAAGGTTAAATTCATCACAATATATGGAAGTAAATAATATTACATTCTCAAAATTGAAATCTAGAAGTAAATTACATTACATTTTGTTACAAATTTAAGAATTAGAGGGATAGAGAGTCACTAATGATTCTTTGATTGCCTCTGTCAGGGATGACTTAAGGGGACGATTGAAGATAATTGTTTCTTTAAAATTTAAAATTATCGTATATTTTTAAAAATATGTATTTTCTGTTAAAATTTTATTTTTATCTATAAAATTTTATAAATTTATTTCTTTTAATTTTTTTTCAATTTTATTTAAACATAAAATACTACGTCCCTTTTTGACGTAACTGTCGCTTTATAAATTGCTAGATCTGCTTTGAAAAGTAATCTCTGGATTCCCCCCCCCCCCAAATTTCGGGCATAAGCATCCCGCAATCTAAACTCGTCGATATTAGAATTATCCAACTGTTCACTACCATACCTTTGCAAGGCATCTAAGATTTAACGTGACATACCAGTTTAGATATAAGCACTTAATCAAATTAAATAAAAAGAATTTGAGTTTAATGAGTATTATTTTATCATTTAAACTTTATTTTTTTTCTCAAACCAAGTTTATTAAACTCAGTTCAACTCTAATCTAATCAAGTTGTTATGGTTTTTAATAAACAATATTAATACTTCTGCAGCAGAACCAAGCACCTTTCCATGAAGATGTTGAGACCTTCAATAGACATTGATATTATAACCATAAACCTAAAGGCAGCGAATCCAACTATCTGCCTCTTCTCCCGCCAATGCTCATAGATTGCTCTGATTACTTCCATGGACCAAACTCCAGCCATGTGCTCTTGTATTTCATCAGAATTAAATTCATGGAGTATATGCACCCTTCTCAAACATTTCATCATCAAATTCCAACGAGCTGCTGCTGACATCACTCTCTGCAGATCTATCAATTCCTGAAATCCACTCATCATCATTATTATCCAATTCCATGTATAAAAAAGAACATCATCTTCGACCCGCCGTGAGTACTGGAAAGAACTGCGAACAAATGTCACTTGTGTTGTAAAACATAAATTTTTTCAACCGCACGAACATTTCAGTTGTAGTCCACTTGAAAATGATTATCTTTATAATTGTTTTATAATTGAATGTTTAAAAGATAAATTTATTAACATTTAAGTGACCGTGATGTAATTTACCCCAAATTTAATGCAACATAACGACCCGAACTCTAAGGTTTAGTTCTTTCCCCCGGTTCGGGTGCATCGGTCGGTGCTTTCGAATTGCCTTCGCATTTCCCCGCTAAAGCACCCGAAATTCTTCGCTTTTCAATTTCACCTATCAATAGCCTTCTCGGATTGATCGTTGCATATTATTAGGCATTTTTATTGATCTCGCTCTAGATCTCGACCTTCAATTTTTTCTCCCAATTGAGGTCGATCTGGAATAATACTGTGTCAGATCTCTCCAGTTTGAAGTAAGAATATTTATCTATATCCCTATTTTGTGTTTATTTGCAAAGATAATTGAGGGAATTGAGTTTTTTTAACTAAAATCTTTTCCATTTTCTTTTTTTTTTTCCCTCGTAGAATCAGGTATTATATTAGGAACTTTATTTATTTACCTTTTCAAAGATCGTGGAGGTTAATAAAAAAATGCCTGTAAAGCCGGCACAATCGTCATTTAGGGATCGGACGGAAGAATTTCTGAGCGTAGCGGAGAGGTTAAAGAAGTCGATCACGTCTGGACCGAACCAAAATGGGCCGAGTAGCAGTAGTTCGAGACCGGAGGACAAGAGAGCTGTGGTTGCCTATCAATCGGAATTTAATAGGAGGGCTTCTAAGGTTGGATTGGGGATTCATCAGACTTCGCAGAAGCTTTCTAAGTTAGCTAAATGTAGGGATGGCAACGGCCGGGTTCGGGCAGGGTATTGGTCCCGTTCCCGTCCCGTTTAAAAAATATGTACATGTCCCTGTTTAAAAAATCGCGGGGATTTAAACGGGGATCCCATCGGGTAATCGAGAAAAATCGTGGGAAAACGAGTATCTCGTTTAGCATAATCGATTATTTAAACGGGTATCGGGTCGAGTATATATATTTAAATTAAATATATAAATATTATTATATATATATATATTAATTTAAATTAAATTTATTAATATTATATATATATATATATATAATAATTATTTTTAATATTTATCGGGCCGGATATCAGGTTGAATAATTGGGTAATCGGGGCGGGGATTACTAAACCCGTCCCGTCCCCGTTTAACATAAACGGTTTTCTCTGTCCCCGTTTAATTCGATTTTCGATTTTTCCCGTCGGGTTCGAGTTTTTTTGCCATCCATGTAAGTGTTTATAGCTGCTTCATTTACATTTAGAATGTTCGTTTTTATTTTTTTTAAAAAGATGAAGGTAAGCCAAGCACGGGTTATTTGAAACCTGAAATTTAGCTTCTCAGGTGCGTAGCTTAGAAATTTATGAGCTCCAGAGAGGAGTGACAGATTTAATGGACTTATGGGATGTGCAAAAATGAACTTCGATACTTGAAACAATTCTCATTAAACAATGTTTTGAATAATATACTTGATCATTAGAGTTGAATTAACAACTGCTAGAACTTGATCATAAGGGCAACTCCAATCTTGGTTGTCTTGGTTTATATTGTATTACTGTTGTAGCCGAGCTTGATTAAATCCAATGTGCACATCTGTCAATGATGGATATCGAAGAAGACAAACAGACTAGATACTGATACGAGTTTATTGTTGCCGTTTTTCTTACCATAGTTACTATGATCCCACATGTTTTCCATTCAGTATCATAAAAAAAATCCCACCTACTTTGCAGTGGCCAAGAGGACTTTTTAATGACCCTACTATGGAAATCCAAGAGCTCACTGCAGTAATAAAGCAGGATATCACTGCCCTTAATTCTGATGTGGTAGACCTTCAGCTTTTCTGCAATTCTAGAAACGAAGGTGGTGTCTCCAGTGACACATCTAGTCATTCAACCACAGTTGTAGATGACTTGAAGAATCGCTTGATGAGCGCCACAAGAGTTTAAAGATGTCCTCACTATGCGAACAGTGGTAAGGCTGAGTTTTTCAGTTTGTTTGCTCACTGAGTTAAATTGATCCATTTTACTATTTCTTGTAGTAATTTCATTTGGAAATCATTCCCATGACAATCAGCAGTAATTGAATTTCCTTTTCCAGAATTTAAAGGTTCATGAGAATAGAAGACAGTTATTTTCTTCCACTGCTTCAAAGGATTCTCCAAATCCTTTTGTACGGCAGCGCCCCCTGGCTGCCAAATCTGCAGCCGGAGCTTCAAACAACCTTCCACAATGGGCTAATGGATCTGCATCTTCATCTCAGTTGTTTCCAAGGTAACAACTTATTCTGATATTTTGCTCTTAACCTCATTAAACGCAGAAAATAATAGAGCACTTATTTTTCGTAACTTCCTAGTCCATTTAATTATAACTTGTTTTGTGATACTCATGGATAAATTCTTAAGATTTCCTCTTGTGCAGTTTTAGCAGTTAATGATTGGCGCATATTGTCCTCTTTTGTGCCACAACTGTATTTTCTTGTTTGCTTTTTATGCAGTACCATGTACTCGTGATAGTTGAATGTTGCGCATTTGCTTTTATTCTTCATACCGTTTTTTTTTTACTTTAAATATTCATTTCTTTTTCTATCTTTTTGGAATCAACTAGTGTTGACTATTTTTGTTCTAATCTAATTGGGTTGAACTTCTTATTTGAACCATATCTACTTGAAATTCTGTATGATAGTGAAACTTCATTTTTGGTTTTTAATTGAATAGAAAGAATGATAGGGAGAATCAGCCATTGCTTCAGGAGCAACAACAACAAATGGTTCCATTGCAAGACAGCTACATGCAGAGCCGAGCTGAAGCTCTTCAAAATGTAGAATCCACTATTCATGAGCTAGGCACCATATACAACCAGCTAGGCACTCTGGTTTCTCAGCAAGGATAGCTATCAGGTTTTCTATATAAGGAGCTTTGTTTTTCATATATATATATATATATATATATATATGAATTTATTTATTTTTGCTAATAGCAGAGTTTCACATAATTGCATGATTGTGCTAGAAACAATGATTGAATTCAATATCGACAAAAAATAATGGTGCCTGCGTCATGGCATTTAAAATTATGTGGTAATGTAATTGTTACCAACTACTAGTTGGTATGAGGCGCTGAGTCCTTTAAACAATGTCCGATGTTTGGATCCCGACGTTGTAAATGGAGCAAACTGGGTTGGGAGAGAGTCGTCCCCATAATATGCATTTCACATCTGTAGTACCCGATCCTGATTAGTCAGTCAATAGGTCAGATTCCGATGGTCATACAAAAAAATGTGATTATTGTTTTTCTGATTGAGTACTTGGGAGAATTTGAAAATCCATTTGTTTTGCGTTTCTTGTATTTTTTGGTAAAGTTTGGCATGAACATGTTTGGCATAAACTAAACAACAGGAGGTACATCTACTGTTTTCCAGGCAAACTAATTAGTTTTCCTGGAACCAAATATTACAATTCTTATTTGGATATTAATCATTCCCTCACACGAGGGATTTGGTATACAAATTAGATATATACATCCCATTCGTGGTGACTGTTAAAAAGTTACAGATAATTTGCACCAATGCAAAACAATTTTACCTGTATGAAGAAAATGGCAGTACAAGTATTGCGGTCTGAATCATTTGACTGAGCTATAAACCACCGCTGATTGGACTGATATATTCTCTACAGGATTGATGAGAACATGGAGGGAGCGCAGGGAGCAGCATATCGTCTAACAGGTGGCTGATGATCAAGATATTTTTTGTTTTGATTCTTTTCCTCATGTTTTTCCTATTCTTTGTAGCATAGTTAATAACCGAGTTTGAACCCAAAAAACCAGACTCAGCCGAGATTGAAAAGAGAGAACTGAAAATGATGATGCCTTTTTCTTGATTGCTCTATACTTTTCATATATACAATCTTTCATTTTGCTTTAATCCACAATCCAGTCCTGTTGAGTTGTGATTGGGTCCAGTTTGGTTACTGTGACGTGTACGTACCTTACCATATTGTACAAGTACGTGTAAATTGTGTAAGGTATTTGAAAACGAGAATGGCCGAGATTGAAATTATTATTATTGTTATTAGTAATTTGGGTGTTATTTGACAGAAAATCTCCTAATGTGCCAACTAAACCAATTGCGAACGGAAAACGGTGGCTTAGCTTAGCTTTGTTCAATACACAGCGGTTGGCTGCTTGGTATTTTGCCCCCTGAATACCAAGAATGCAGCGGAGCATCATGCTAATAAGGGTTCACTATAATGTCAACCAAATAAAACACTAAAAAAATGTATTATAATTTCAACTTTTAACTGCACAAATTAATAGGGGTTAATTTGGATTAGATTTGTAAACTTATAGTTCAGAAATTAAAGAAGAAATGCTAATTTTGCAAGTTGGGTATTAATAATACATGGATTAATTATAAAATTTATCCAGAGAACAAAATAAAAGTTTATCAAAGGATCAGATATAAATCCAAAACGATGGTAGAATAGAATCTATTGCATTGCAAAAGTAAAGTAAGCGGTAAGAAAGCAAAAGCTGTAAGTTAAAAAGTAATTTCATTTTCACTGTTTTGAAGTCCCCTATACAACATCATCCTTCTGCCTGCTAAAGCCTAAAATTATTGCAAATTCTGCAATTATATGGTATCTTTGTGGGTAATTACATGGTAGTAAATCAATTCCATTCTGACAGCAGATATAACAGTAAGAAATCATACATGTTCAATGCCAATGTGGGTATACAGTAAAAATTAAGAACGGTGACAGTAGAATTCCTGTGTTCTGTGCCTGTCTTGTGAGTCACAGTCAAGTGAGTCTAACAAGCTACATCTCATTCTCAGTCTCACCCCGTAAGACAACCATAAAGAATGGAAGGGACGACCATCCAACACATAAGATGAAAGACCGTCAAACTGTATGCAGCTGGCACGTTCAAATACCAAATTCCAAGGCATCAATATACACATATTATACTACTACTACTTCATATGTATTTTTTAAAATTCCTACGTATTACATTACTAAAATCTTTAAAACACAGAGCTTCTATAATTGTTGCCCATCCTTCTCTCACCTCGTCGATGGTTGTCATGTGCTCCAGAAAGTGAGCTCAAGATGCTGGTTGCGCTTGTCCCCGACATCAAGTCCAATATGTTCTCCCCAACCTCGTTCTTGCAAAGAGGACACGATGCATTGATCTTAAGCCATTTGTCTACACATTCCTTGTGCATGAAGTGACAACATGGCAGCTCCCTCAGCTCATCGTTATTTACGTATTTTGCCAAACAAATGCAGCACACCTATCCAAAATCCAAGCAGTGCCAATAGTATTAGTAAGTATGAGACATGTTCTGAATTATCAAAACGATAATGAAATGAAACACTCACTGCATCTTCTCCAGAGATGGCATGTTTCTTTTCTGTTCCTGCAGCCACGATGCCACCCTCATTTGCACCCAAGTTGATTTCCTTACCATCACTATTTCTACTTTTCTTCACCTTAAACTTGTAAGTAGGCAAAGCCTCAATGGATTCAGGCGTCGCTCCTCTGGCTTGTGATAGATCCTCTCTAAATCCAAGGACAGAAATAATACAAGGCAGGCAACAGCAGATAGTAGCACATAGAATAAAGGGTATTGCATATCCGATACAACTAATAGTAAGAAAAACTATACACAACCTGGAAACAAAAAAGACAAGAAAGATGAGTTCTTGAGAAAAGTACAAATCAGAAGTTAAATGCAGAATATGCCAACCAGCAATGACCATCACTACCTGTACATGTTTGGAGCCTCACCGGCAGATGAATGCCCACCGAAGATCCAGATATTGCCAACCACAAACCAAACAGCAAAGAAGCAATCTAGAATCATTTTGAAGTATTCCACTAGTGTTTTAATTCTGCAGTACAAAAATCAGCTGATTGAAAACTAAGGTGATTATTTCTATACTAGATCAAGTCAGATGATAAGTTCATTGTCTTCTACATATGAGGGGCAGCATTGTAGGGGAGATCCATTAAATCTCACAATGGTTGAGGGTATCTTGGATGCATAAATATAACAAGGGTTGCTCTAACTATTGCTCATTGGCTTTAGGTTGGATGCTCATCTTAAAACTTAACAAATACAACACACATAACTGAGGACAGGAGTGTGTTATTCTCTGCTTATCACCCCTCATTTCGAAATAAGAAAACTGTACCTGGCATTTAACGCACCCATGTTTTGGCCACCTCTAGGAGATGTAGTTGCATTATGATGATCACCCCCATCAGAAGTCCTTGCAACAGAGAGCGAAAAGGATCTGGCAGGGGCATTATTAGGTGCAGAATGGCGATTTTGAGCAGTGTCTTGCTCAGAAGCCTGGTTACGAAAACGATAACGCCAATAAAGAAGAGGGAGGGTCGCTACACATCCAGATGAATAACTTACAATCCATGCAAACAGCGGTGTATGGGGATGCTCATCTCGTGACAAAGACAAGACAACAATAGATGCTACAATCTGGCTCACTGTAAGAATCAATTCAACAGAAATCCACAAAACAGAATTTAACGGACTCCTCCTACGGGAATCTCCTCTCCTTACAGCAGATGAGGTTCTTGAGTTTGTACCACTGGAAGAAAATGTTGAAGGTTGTGAAACTAGCGCTCTTGCACTAGTAGAAGGTCTGTCTGCATGCTGCAAAATATCCGACCCATTCGAAGTTGTTTCAGGAGATAAGTTTGATGAAGAAGCATCATCACTCCTTGGCATGTCAATAACATGTCCACTAAAGTCACTTGGTTGCTCCATTAACAATGGATAAGTGTCGCCTTGATTTTCAGACTGAAGCCCCAAAGAGGGAACTCCCATCTAAGTTCAACACAACCAGAAATGATGAAAGCATGGAAACCTAAAACAAGATTACCAGCTTTATGTACCACTTCTTAACTCTGCTGAGACAATGGGAACCTTTTTCCTTGGGATTTTTCAAGTTCTGATGTTTGACTTAAACTATTTGGCACCATATATGAGGATAAATTACCAATTCCTGTAGAGCAGAGAATGGAAATTCAACTATGTCAGAGTAAATATATCAACCTTTCATCTCCCTTGAGGACATAAGTATACAAGTGTTGCTAAGCATAAATCAAACTGAAAGGGAAAAAGACGTACTGAACCCATTCATTTTTATTGTAAACCCAAAGAAAACCTAAAAACCTTTAAATCCCCACCAAATGAACACCATTGAGTTTGACAATCCCAAGGGACAAGAATTCGTATAAAACCTAAGTATGTATACTTTCTGAAATATAGATGCATAATAACAATGAACATCAGTAAAATCTAATATAAAAGAACGCCAAAAAAACTAACTGATGACATGATAAAACTGGGTAAATGCATAACGCTCATAACCAGAGTCGTTTTTAGTAACCCGCAAACTGTACACCCGCGCATGAAACTAACATGAATTTGACTTAAAGCATCCCATCTCCTTTCTGATAAATGAAAGAATTAAAGACTCACCAGTTCTCTCAGGCCTCAACCGAGCAAATGCTTAAAAAATCTACATATATCCATTTCATTTTTTTTAGTGGAGAGGGGGAAATCCAGATACAGTTCTTAAAAAAACTTAAACTAGCTCAATGATGATAAATGCTTCACTTTCAAAGCAAAGGAAACTTACTTTGCTTAAAGAAGTAAGCTTTTGACAACAGTGGAAACCCCCCTCGCTTCTCAAACGATTACAGTTTTTTTAGCTGTGAAAGAAAATTTTCTTGACTACCTTTACAACAAGATCAAAAATGAGAAAAATTCACGTCCAAAACAGGCCCAAAAATGAAAGAACACTACTAAATTAAAAATCGATAGCAACCCTATTAAGATCGAATCAGCACCATAACCCTTATGAAAAAAACACCAAGTTCCTCGATCAACAAGAAACTCGATTCCTCCTCCTGAGCCGCGAAAGGGGAAAGCGTTGACTAATATCCAAAAAAAGATCAAACCCTAAAAAACTGAGAAGTGAAATCGTACCAGAAAGGACTTGGGGTAGAGAGAAAGCGATTATGGACTGTCGGAGCTGAGAAGTGACCGGAGATGATGAAAACGGCGACGCTAGATGAGTGAACAGGAGCAAGCTGTTTCGGAAGGTGTGGAGTCTAAAGCTGAAGGGACTTTGTTTGTTGGGTTTTTCTTTATTGCGGTGGGGGGATGATTATATTTATGTCGATTTTCTCGATATATCATCGGTGACCAGTAATATTATCGATCTAACATTAGTCAGATTATATTTTTTGATCTAATACCCTTAGCAGTAAAACACGCCCCTTACACCGTGCAATACGATGATTTGGCGTCACGTGGGGTATAGTGCGCCCTCTGCACCGCGTTATACGGTGAGCTGGCGCCACGTGGATATAGCGCGGCCCCTGCAGCGCTGCTATACGCTACGTAGGGGTATAGCGCGAATCAGGTACCGCGCTATACATTTACTCCTAATAATTTTATATAGCGCGGGACAGGTACCACGTTTTGTATAACTTTCCTCGCTATAAATACTATTCTCCGCCGGTTAATTTCTCACATCTCTCCTCTCAACTTATAAATTAATACAACAATTTCGTCAATAAATCAATAATTCTGGCAATCTTCTCATATTTTATTTAAAAATTCGTGCGATTTTTCGTTATAAGGTAATTTTGTTTAAAAAAAAATTATTTATTGTTTATTATGATTATTTAAAAAAAATATTATACTAATTATTTTCAATTAATTTTTGTGTTTGTAAAATTGGAAAGCGGGAGCATACGTCGAAATAGTTTTACGGTGCAGGTAATAATATTAAATTATATTATTTAATTTATTTACGTTGATGTGTAAAAATTTTATTGTATTATATGTTCGTTCATATATAATTTATTAAATCAGGTTTGTTTCATATTTTTTTTCAAATATAATAGTGTCGCACTTTTAAACTCAAATAATGGCGCGACTTTCAGCTATTGTTTATTATGATGGTGAAATTCGAGAAGATGAAACCGGCGTTGTTTTTGTATCAAATGAGCGTGTTAAAATATCATTCAAGAGAAACATAACTTTTGAGGAGCTTATAACGAAGATTTCGAGGAAGATTCATGTTGGAAGTAGTAGAAGAGTGTCGTCGTTGCAGTATAGATTTCCAACATCATTGTTGCCATTAACTTATACAGCGTTCGAACTTTCGAACAATGATGATGTTGAAATGATGGTTGAAGCTCAAAGTAATTATTCAGATGCCGCTATTGAGATGTATGCACATTTTGTTCAAGTGCGTGTTGTTCGGGGTCAATCATTAAGCTCCCACTATGGGCTGACTGAACAAGTTGATCAAGTTGATAGCCCGACGACAGTAATGTGTAATGATTTTAATGCCATAATGGGGAGACATTCATCCACAACTCCTTACGATATGTACCAAGGTAGGTCGATGAACAATCTGTATGGCAACATCGCGTCCAGTTCAAGGGGAAGGCATTCATCTGCAAATCCCTTTGACCTTAATATGGAGATGCCATCAACGCAACCATCTGTGCAGTTTCCATTTGACGCGATGGCTTCAAGTTCTAGGAGGAGACATTCGACTGCGAGTTTTTTCGATCTCAATGTCGATATGCCTTCCAGTTCAAGGGGAAGGCGTGCAAGTAGTATGTTCTTTGACCTAAATGTGGAGAGCATGGAGGAACCATCATCTCCACCAGAATAACCGCTTCGTGAGCCTGGTGCGGATGATGCTGAGACTGGATTGTTCATTGACCCAGAATCACCGCAATTCAACTCCGATGATGATGAAGTTCCAGGAAATGTGGCACAAACTGACCCTCCTGCATACATGTATGAAGCTGATTATGGTGCAATGTACGAGCCAGAATTTGCGGATATGCCTCATCTCGGTGACTATGGGTATTACTCATCAATAAATAATGGTGAGTTATCTTTAGGCATGGAGTTTTCAAGCAAAGAAGAAGCGATGATGGCTATCAAAAATTACAATATTCGTAATTCTGTTCAGTCCAGAGTAGACCGCTCCACGACCGAAAAATATGTATGCTACTGTGTCCAGCGCGAAAACGGATGCAATTGGATGGTTCGCGTATCGAAGAGGAAAAACAACAGATGGGAAATAACAATATACAACGGTCCTCACACATGTTGTGCTGGAGGGGTCAACCAAGATCATCCTAACTTGGACTCTGAAGTGATATGCCAAGCCATCATGCCCATGGTCAAAGCAAGCTCTCATATAGCTGTTGCAGTGTTGATTTCAACTATAAAATTGCAGTATGGGTACACTGTCTCCTATAAAAAAACTTGGTTGGCAAAACAAAATGCCATTGTCAAACTTCATGGCGAATGGGATGCATCTTACAACGAACTTCCAGGTTGGTTTAGGCTGGTGCGAACGTTGAATCCTAAGACAATTGTGGACTTCGAAACCTCCTATGCATACCATAATGATCGAGTTCTTCGCGATCGATGCCAATTCTACCGGGTTTTTTGGAGTTACCCATAGTGCGTTAATGCTGTCAAATTCTGCAAACCTGTGGTCCAGATCGACGAGACTTTCTTGTATGGAAAATACAAGCAAGTTTTATTATTGGCAGTTATCCAAGATGAGAATTGCAACATTCTTCCAGTTGCTTTTGCTCTTGTCGAAGGAAAAGATACAGCTTCTTGGGCTTTTTTCCTCTGAAATTTACGTCCACATGTTATCACGAGGGAAAACATCTGTGTCATTTCAGATCGCGGAGCTGTGATCAAAGAAACAATGGAGTCTTTGGGTCCAATGTGGCAACCACCCTTTGTCCAACATAGGTATTGTCTTCGACACATTGCCGCGAACTACCATGGAAGGTACAAGAATAATGATGAGCGTCAATTAATTGTGCGCATGGGTAAGTGAAACTTAGCAAGTTTGTTATCTTTCAATCGTTTTAATTTTGCAAAGACAGCAAGTTAGTAAGTTATATATTTTTTGATCAGGTTACGAACTACTTCCTCGAACGTTTGAATCAATGTTTCAAGAGTTGCGGGCGAAGAACGAGGAAGGATATAATTACATCAGCCTCATCGATAAAGAAATGTGGACGAACGCATATGATGCTGGATATCGATATGGACACATGACGACCAACATGGCAGAGGCAATCAATTCAACCTTAAAGGGTGCACGTCACTTACCTGTAGCGGCTTTGGTAAAGACTACATATTTTCGTTTGGGACGCTTTTTGCGAAACTTGGGGGACAAGCTTAAACCTGGATGCAAGGCGGTCATGTCTATCACCCTAGATTAGTTGCAGATCTACAGAAAAAAATTATTGCATCAAATGGAATGTTTGTAACAAGCTTCTCTAGAAGGCATGAAATGTTTCGTGTCACAGAGTTACCGCGACCTCTTCAAGGGATTGAAGTTGTGTCGTTAAGAGTAAATCTAAGGGACAGAACGTGCGACTACGGGTTTTTTCAAGCTCTGAAGTATCCATGCTCTCATGTGATAGCAGCTTGCTCGCATACACGTCAAGACTATAACCATTTTGTGGATCCCGTATGCCTATTATCTGAAGTTTTTAAGGTATACGAATTTGAGTTTCCCCCCATAGGTAATGACAAAGACCCTGATGAGGTTCAAGATTGGCTTCCGATTGTACCAAATCCAAGTTTATTGAGGGAGCGTGGTCGTCCAAAATCCAATCGAATTCATTGCGATATGAATATTAGAGAAAGATCTAGACAAGACAAAAGATGTGGGCATTGTAGAAACCCAGGACACACTAGAAAAACATGTCCACTTATGTTGTCATCAAGTAACAATTGATGAGGAAATGATATATTTTATTATCAAATAATAATTCTTCTACTTTAATTTGCATTTACTTTAAGTTAATGTCACTTGATAATCACCGATGAAGATTTAAAAAACAAACACAATCATTAAATTTTAACAAACTAATAACAATAAGTATTAAATGGTAAATGATAACCAAATTACAATAACTGATATTAAATGGTAATAAAAAAAACGAACTAAAATACATTAAAAAAACAAAATAAAGTAAGTATTAAATGAGAAATAAAAAAAAATTACAATTTAACAAAATAAAGTAAATACAAATATAATAAAAACAAAATCTATCGATGCCTGCGACGCGAATATGTTATGCAGGGCGGTGGCTGTCGGTCTTGAGGAGGATTTCTTCGTATCACTGGTTCTGACTCCTCGCTGTCATCATCATCACCATCGTCATCGTCGTCGTCGTCATCTTGCGCAAGTACATGAGGAGCTGATGACGATGAAGTACCTCCATAGAATAAGGACCCTGGAGGTGTATGACTGACTATCCCACCGGCCTGCGAAAACTGGGAAAAGTCATAAAACACAGACATCGCTGAGTGTGAAAATTGTACAAGAGGCGGTGTTTGTGCTGCGGCCATGGGTGATGAGGCTGAACCTGTAACATCCCAAACTATGGGTTAGTGACCAAATTGTAAAGTTTCAGAATTTGGTGACTAAAGTAGAAGAATGGATTAGTTCAATGATTTGTTTGAAAATATTTCCTAAAAGTTGTTAGTAATTATTAAAGGAATTAAATGGTAAAAGGGTCATTTGACAGTAAAGATATTTTATCCCTTTTATAAGAGATGAAAACGTGGAAGATGAAAACATTTTCATCTTCTTCTTCATTTCTTCTTCCTCCTCCCCGTGGAAGCTAAGCAAAGGTGAGTTTCTGATTTCTTGATTATTTGTTGAATTAAAGGTTGGGTTTTGATCATTAGAGGATAACTAAGCTTAAGGAAAGCTTAAGTTATCTTAAAATCAAAAGATAAAAGAGTTATGAAAGATTAAAGAAAATGGGGTTTTAAGTGAATCTTTGGAAAAGAGATGATAAGTTGAATTGGGAACTAAATTTGACTTGTCATCAGCTAAATTAAGAAGTATTAAGTGTTAGAATTGGATTTGAAACATGTGGAAAATAGGGTATGATTCTTGAAGTTCCTAAATATGAGAGGATATTAAGGTTAAAGATGGGATAAATGATTATAAATGAGTTTAAACATATATATGAAAGTTAGGATTATGAAAGGGGATGAAATATGAAGCATTTGAGTGAAGAGTTGATGATTTTCGGGTTCAAAAAGAGGTTTTG